GGAGAGCTTTGCCATATATTTCTATAATACAGAAAAAGTCCATTTGTTTAAGAGACACCAGCTTGGACTTGATATGCATGAATAGGAAATAAACCATTTTAATTGATCATATGAAAACTCTTTATGATGCACGTGGTAATAAAAAGTGTACGCGCATTGAGCAAGGTTAGCGTAAATCTTTGTGTGTACTGAAATTATTACTGTATTAATTCATGCCTCATTTGATGTTTAGTGGTTTTCAAATATGACTGAGCGGTGTCATATTCCGGATAATGCGGAACATTGTAGTTCCTGTGAGATCATTGTAAGTCAAACGGGACATGTGAGAAAAATTCGGACATAAAAATAAATGTGATAGATGACTCTAGAATATTTTTATTAGTAACCCATACGTTGTGCCCATGGAGTGGTGAAATGCTCATGACTACTCACTAATCAAATATCTCGTAAGGATCCTTTAAATACGCACTCAATGTTGAAATATTATCTAAACGACTCATTGGTCATCACAGTTACGGATCGCAGATCACATTTTTAGAACTTCCGACTTCGGAAAAAGCTCTCTAATAGCGTAGGTACATTCAAAGAGTTTTAATGCGAGGAAAACCAATATTTCCTTTTCGTATGTTATCATAGGATAACTCACATTATGACTCAAGTATTCAATGCAGTATCTGTGAACTTTGTACAAGATATTATCGTCCATTATGACTATGTTTTCAAAGGAAATATTAAGACTATTGAATCAATTGTTTCTTTGTCATAGTGTATCTTTGAGCAGTTAAACTTTCAGGCAATGTTAGTATCGTATTGTCATTCAATACAAGTTAATTTGTGTCAGGAACTTTATTCTCATAAATAATGAAATAATGTATTAATAAGAAAATGATCAATTTTCCTTAGGTTTTATTTCAATTAACTTACAAAAATGTGAACAAGTGTATACGAGGTTGCGCTCACTTGGACCAAGACCATTTTATGACGCCCGACAACTTTCTAAACGTTTTCTTTGGAAATAAGAAAATGGAATTCATTTTAAGGAAAAGGTCTCATAATAAATATACTTTTTTATATAATTATATATTTTTGAATATGAAATAATTGTTCTGGAGTAAAAATGAATTTGTCCAAATGTACAATATTCTCGCATAATTATCATATTTTTAATTGATTTGAAATAAATAGATTATTTAAAATTACAATTGATTAATTCTAAGCAACTTGGTTCAGTTATTAAACGTTTGATTGTCAAATAACATCTTGAAAGTAAGGATTACATAGTTAATTTTTTAAAGTTAAAATGTAAAACTGTGTGCTTAAAACTAATATGTCTACTTGAAATGTTGAGTTAACTTATGTTGTTTATTTTTAAGTACATGCTTGTTTTTCTCTCATTAATAATTAAAAATATTTTTGGATAATCGCTAATATTTATTTTGTTCATGAACAGTAAAAAATGTATGTGACATGTGGTGAAAAGTATAATCTGTGCACGAATTGTTGAGAATGAAACGTTCAATACTAAACAGATGTTTCCGTAAACACGAGCCTGGTTCAATGTATACCCTTTTAGTTATATCTATAATTTTAAACTGACCTTTCGAATGATAGCAATAACGTGATAAAACTGAATTTACTGCATGGCCAACTCGGATGGCAACGGTTCATTGGCCAATATAATTAAATTTACGAAGCTATTTAGTTTATTGAAATGGAAAGCATTTTCTACCAGATTATTATCGTTTATTAATGATATTTCACTTCTAAGATATGAAATGCAATGTTTTCGCAATCGCTAACATATATTCTTTGTGGAACCTTCAACAATTCAAAGGTAGCGTGAAAAATACTGGCACGTTATATTTGAACTTCTTCACAAAAACATTCCTAATAGTCCATTTTATTTACACATCGAAATATCTCGAGAAATTCACACCAAACGAAGAAAAAATTGTGATAAAAGTTAATATTTTCAGAGAAAAATAAACTTGCGCTACAAGACCGCCGCGCCCAAATTTCTGATTTCGAATCAGAACCCCCGCGTTTTAACACATATCAGGATTTACAACCCCCTTCCGCCAGAAATAGTTGAAATATATTCACAAATACAGTTTTTACTTTTTACAATAAGGAAAATTATTATATCAAATAAATTTGAAATTCATCGTAATGTGAAATTCTTTCAAAGATAAGATGACGTTCACTGGACACTACCCTTTAAATCCCCTTAATATTGTGGTACCACCAATTTTTCTTTGTTTCAAATTGAAATACATTACAAATTATTACATTATAATTTGTGACAATTAACGTTATCCCCAAACTCAGAAGAATTTCCTCACTACTTTTGCGGTATCTTTTTGCGAGATAATTAGAAGAAATATCAAGAAACGGAATCGTTCAAGATAAAATTGGTATACTCTATCGAAGATGTGCTATGAAATGAAGTAGATATCCATTAGATTCATTCCTCAGCATATTTTCAGAACTCAATTAATCTCATAGGTGCTCTGTGAGTTTTCTATTCATGTGTAGTTAGATTTAGTTGTAAGATTAGCATTTAAGTTAAATATAAGTCATAAAAAATACATATGTATGTATGATGTCATAAAAAATACATGATGTAGTATAAATAATACTGAACTATGTATATTCGTTCACTAATAAAGATATATTATAAAAAAATAAAAATAAAAAAAAAGAAATGAAGTGAGCCTCTTTCTCTTTTGCAAAAGCCTAGGGCCGGCTTCTTCTTCGGGTCGACGAGGGTGAGCGAAGTCATCACGGTCACGTCCGCCTCGAGGACGGCCGCGCGCCGCCGCCCGCGTCGTGAACGCCGTCTTGGCAACAATTTCACACTTTGTGGGTTTTTTCTCCTTTCAAGTACGTCGAATGAAGTGCCTCGTTGGTGTCGAAACGAGGGAGATGTAGTAACGAAGTGCAGCTGAGCAAGACACATCATAATAGTATTTGTCGTATTACAGCAACATTTCTCACAAATCAAAAACAATGTTTGAAAGTGAAGGTTCATTTAAGAAGATTGAAAATTAGAATATACCTTAAAAACTGGGATCTCCTTTTAAAAATTACAATGTCCCAACACTGCCCACGATATCTGCCGGCCAAGGAAAGGCACCCGGTGAATTTCCCGCCCGAAAATGCGAATTTGTATTTGAAACATTTCTTCCGTAATGGGAATTTCTTGAGATACTGAATCCAAATAAACCGCCCGGTATATTGGGACAGTCAATTATTTCGAATACACACTCGAGAATGTTTGTTCCGTGTTGATTGCAGTTAGTATACTACCATTTCTAAATATCAATAAGAATCTATGAAATTTTATGTAGTTGTAGAACTCCTTTCAAAGAACTTTTTTTGTATTTCGTTTTGTGAGAGATTTCTGATTCTGAAACCAAAACGTAAATTAAGCAATACTAGAAGTGCCTATATTTTCACCAAGATGACGAATATGTATTGTAAATTTAAATACTCAGAACCTATGGTAAGAATGTTATATCATAATGGTAATAGAGCTAGACCATGGTTCTTAATATTTACAAAAATAATTAATTCATAACAATTAAAAATAAATTCATAGGATGGGATGTATTTCAAAGGTATCAAATAAATATAATAATACAAGTACGTGTACACACTTTATTATTTATAATTTATGTTTCAAAGTATTACAAAATTTCATACAGTAGAATAATTGTATTCCTTTCAGAGTGTTGGACTTTCTCAGTAAAGTACAATATATCTTTGTGATATACTATTATTAGATCGTATTGATATGATTTGAATAATTGGGAACTAACTGTTAATATTACATGATTTTATTATTTAAATTAAACATACATTCATTATTGTAAAAACATTCAGTTAATATGTTTCATAATATTTTGGAGCCTAATAGCCAATAACTTATATGGCAACAATTTCAAACTTCGTGTTTTTACTCTTTTCAAGTACTTCGAATGGTGTGCCTCGCAGGTGTAGAAACGAGGGAGAAGTGGTAACGAAGTACAGCTGAGCAAGGCACATCATGAGAGTACATATAATAAGGAAAACATTAAATACATTTACCATATGCGTTCACACATAACACTTGTTCACAGATCTGCAACATAAATACTAAAATGTCAGTATAAAAAACACGCACACCACACATACAGTGATAAGTCTTCAGAACTTTCTATTCATTCAAAAGAAGTAATAGACAAAATGTAGAGAAGTATAAAAATGAGACTCTTACAAACAATTTCTTCTTTCTAGACTTTCTTGAGTTATGAGCGCTAGTACCTAATAAATTATTCAACGCAACACATGCCTCAATTGAAAGAACTTGAATGGCCAGATGATCTTGATTGTACAGTAACGTAGACTTTCATTTGACAACACATTTTTTGCCTCAGGAGACAATATCGGAAAAATGAGCGCAAATTCTTCCCTAACACTGATCGCAGTAGGCATCAGCTGCTTGTTTTCTCCGGAAAATGAAGAGCACCCTCCATGAACATAAACAGTGCCCAGTACTTGGGCCCGGGGAAGGCAGCAAGCAATCGCGTGTCACCCTCACGCGAGCTCGAGAACGAAAAGTATACCCACAGTACCTCATTGAGCACATACCCGAGAATGCTCCTCTGCAGAGGAGAAAAAAGGACTCTAACTTCGGGATGAAACGCACACACGCAGACTCCACCTTCTTTTCTCTGGAACAACGCAACCCCATACGGCATACCAGGCATCGGTGTCTCGCGACAGTCTCAATCTTATCTCTCATAAATAGCGCGCCGCCAATCCTCATCGGTCTGGCCGAGCGGCGCTTTTCGGGTCTCGGGGCGTCCCGCGCGGCGAGGGCGGGGGGGGGGAGGGCCGTCTGGCGACGCGGAGCGGCGACGAGGGCGGTTAAGGTTAGCGTCCTCGTTTCCTTCTGCAGTCGAGCGGCCTCAGCACTCGTCCGCCACGTCGTCCTCGTGCAGCTTGTCGGCCGTCCGTCAGCAGCTCGGAATGTGCAGAGGGGTAGGCCGGGGCTCCTTCCGCGGCGTGGGACGCCGCGCGTCGCCGCCCGCGGGCGGGCCGCGGGGTCGAAGGCCGGCGGGCGGCGCCGCGCGACGTGGGCGGCCAAGGGCTCGCCGCGTCGTGATCGCCGTCGCCGTCGCCGTCGCCGTTGCCGTCGCCGACGCCGTCTTGGACGCGGCGCTCGTCGTCGCCTTCTTGTCGCCGAAGCCCGCCGCCGGCTTCTTCTTCGGGGTGACGAGGGTGGGCGGAGTCACCACGGTCACGACCTGCAACAGGGAAGGCTCGCTTTGTACGAGAGCGCGGCGGGAGGTTGGGCTACTACAAGAGCAATCGAGTCAGGGCTACTTAAAACGGACGCATATCTTTCTAGGGACTTTCTAGTTTTTGTATTCCCAAATATTTTCTTTGTAAATCTAAAACTTTTCGTCACAATCTCTTTGAATTTGAATGCAAGATAACGAAATGAAGCAAGCTTTGTACTAAGCACAGACGGTTTGTGATTGAGGTTAATTCTTCTTCAATTTCAAATCATTTATAAAATATTAATTGACACTCGAATTTATAATATTATATCATATTAAAGTTATATGCATGATTAGGTTTGTAAACATATTTTCCCAAAATGTGAATATCCACTGTTACGCCTTTTTTTACGTAGATCTCAATGTAGACGGCTTAATTTTATTCCTGGGGTCTCTTCCTTATTCACTCCAGCGCAGTGCGTCCTCTCACCTTTCTTGCACGCAAGTAGCAATTGGCCGGCTTTTGCGTCAGCATATTGGGAGGGAATCTGCGGTTTTGTCTATGGAGTGGGGACAAAAGTGAGGGGAAGCGACCCCGCTAATCAAATTAGATCTTCTACAGTCGCACGTTGCTGCATACGGACACGAAAGCTCTGTTCGGCAGAACCGAACCATAATTATTAATGAAAATAATTTATTCTATTATTATAAATGAAATGTGTAGTAAAAAGCCATAAATGTGTGGTTCGTTTAGCGAAGCTAACGGGAAGTATCTTTCTTTGGGTTCACTGAGTATGACCTGTAAGGGCTACACAATGGTCAACTAATGTAACGTGATTTGCGCCCTACGGGTGTGACGCAATCGTGCTCGAAAGCAATCAACTGTCACTTCAACAATGGGAATGAGGTTGCCCGTATACAGCCAATGGATGCAGAGAGACACCATCAATCAAAATTTCAGCACATTCGGTGCGGGTGTTCTTTTCCTGAGCTATTTACTGTAATTTATCCTCTTGGAAAAATAGCGTTTATTTTGTGGTGGGGACTCAGGCGCTGAAACTCTTTACAATTTTTCCGGGATTTATTTTGTATTGAAAATGTTATGCTAAATATTGGTAGAAAAACAATACGTGAGACAGATGTTTGTGGTCAGTGAGCGACGCAGCAGGTGGTGAGGCTTGCAAATCTATTACCTCACTATTTAGATATGTTTGTGATTATAACTGCCACATCCTGATTTGAAGTTAAAATTTATATTCCAAGTAGGAATGATGGCGTAACTCGCGATTAGAATAATACTATGAATATCAAAATAGAATGGTTCAGCCTAGCGATGTAATGAAATATCAGAGATATATCTAGATCATTCATCTGGACAGAGATCAACGCGAAAGCAATTAAGAACGGTTAATTCAGACGCGTTCGACCGGAGTTACAGTTTGAAGCATATAACAATAATTTAATTTTTACTGGAGCTTTGATTTAACGATATTTATGTGTCACAAATTAATTTCTCCAGTTTGAAAAGTCTCTGATGTTTTTAAAGCATTATTTCATTTAAATACGAACATTCGTAAGTAAAATGTTTGAGGAGAGAATCAATAGCGGTTATTACTTATTGCCACGTTCATACTATAGCAATCCAGTAAAATATTGCTGAAGCATTAATACGGATGTAGGTTTGCTGTCAATACACAACTCAAAACATGAAATGTATTTCCATAATGTTCTTGTGCATTATTCAGGAAATATCGGTGATGTGATTATTAATTCAGAAACGAAGCATAGGTGGGATATAAATTAGTCCATATACACATCTCGATGCAACCGAACAATACTCTTTTCCCGGTTACTGAATTATTCAATCGAATAATCACACTAGGATCCTTTCGTAGGTTATTTAGTATTCATTGTTGTGGCACTAAAATTTGAAAGTTATGCTAACATTTTAGAATTCCAGGAATTTCAGGTAAATGAAACGTCATTTTATGATACTGAAAATTTTGTACACTATTTTCTTTTTACAGATTTTAAATCATGGTGAGCAGTTCATTATGGAGAAGTTGAAATTCCTAAAGATGTCACGGTGGATCTTCATTTACTTTTTGTAAGTAGAACGATATTTGTTATGTTAACGTGGTTCGTTTATTGAGATTTAAACGCTTATTAAAAATGTACTCTTTAAACTCTTAAAATTTGCTTTGTCAACAACTCAAATCAGGGAAACAAGGAAATAATTTCTAAAGGACCATGCTTTTGAGGCGTTCCAACTTCATTCCAGCAACCCACGCTCAAAATTGTAAACTTATATTTTTGATCAAAGCAGAATGTTTACCCTTTTTCATTTCACAATAAATGTAAACACAATACATTATTTCTAGGAAATCTTGACACTCGGATAAAATCTTAGGTGTGTATTAATCCAGTTTTACACGGTCATTTTTTCATAATTTTTCTGTTCAGGACGTGGATGGAAAAGGACATTTGTTTCTACGCGTTATGTTTCGGTGCCGAAACTAAGAACGTGATTCCAGCGATTTACACGGTCATTTCTGGTCCGTTCGCAATTGTGATGAACATACCTTCTCCGCGGTATGATGAACATACCGCAAAAAATGCTGAAGATCAAACATTTAAACGCCGCATCTAAGGTAACAAATTAAGTTATATTAGAGCTGAGAACGGAACGACATTCGAACACAGTACATAATTTATTTCTCACTACATAATCACTTCACATTACAATTCAACACAACAGAACGCTCTGGAAACTGTACAAAAGGAACAAATCCCACCACTAGAGAAAGTTCCGAAAAGTGACACAAGAAGCGTGCTAGTCAAACCGGATGGAATCTTTACCGAAAAACGAAGCATGCATACAATTTATATCCAATCTAGTCTGTCCCTTTTCTGTACCGGCGAAAAATGATGAAAAGTGATTGTGTTAAACAGGCTTTAGATTAATCATAGCCAATAAGAAATGAAATTTTGTTTCAACAGCTTTTACTTCCGTAGTATCATTTTTTATCTCGCTTCTTTTCCTAAAAACCAGTTTAGGTCTCATTTTTTCGTAGTATTGGCATTGAAATATAAGCGTTCATATAATGGGTATACCTTTATATAACACATGCATCTTTGCATTTGGCAAACGTTTTAATGGGGTATTTCTGAACAATACTAACATTAGCTTGATAAGCGTTTCACATTTGATTTTATTATCTATATTACTGATTCCCAATGCACGAAGAAATTGCATGAAAATGCTGTCTCCGTCCATGTGAAAGATATCTGGTATCATTAGATATCATGGAACTCGGGAAAAAAACCAAAATCATCAAAACAATTTCTCTTTGGAAAGAAAAATGCAAATATTTGATAGTGTTGTATTGCCTATTTTTATGCTGTGCGTATCCAGTAAATTCATGCTCACTCAATACCTCAATGCTTACGACACATCTGACGTCATCAGTTACCACGGCTTCAAGGAAGGTGGCCGCGTGCCATTAAATATTTGCTTCCCACGAGTTTCGTTATGAATGAGCCCCATTTTTATATTCTATGTTTGTAAAAAACTTTTGTACAGCATTTACAGCCCAATATACTAGGTTATTGCAGTATCCGTGAAGATAGTTTTTTGTTAAAATATATAATTTATTGCAATGTTATAGGAGAACACTTTTTGGCATCATTTTCTTTGCTACTTTTAGGGAAACAATTTTGTGTGGTTTTGTTCAACATGTTTGCTGAAACAAGCTACTAGTATATTTTAAACCCAGAATACGCAGAACCCAGAATGTTTGTTTGCAAATATGAGTAATTTGATGTAATATGAATGACACGTACTCCTAAGCCGAGTGCTATTCATTTAATATTTTTATAGCGTTTGTAATCTGAGACTTAGGATCTTAACTCGGAAATCATCAAAGTGAAAAAGCCTTTTCTGCGAATACATTTACAGATATGAAAGACCATGTCATCGCTCTTGGCGTGTAACGCGCTGAAGCTCATCGCTCGAATAACACGGATTCAAATAAACAGAAAAACATTACACTCCGCGTAATGAACCCTCGGAATATGCAGTTGCGAACACGTCGACCTCTTCAGTAGTTGCGTACCGCCGGTCATTTCTCCGCAATTAATCCATAGCCGGTCTAAGAGGCCCCGCTCTCGAGCGCGCAACGGCGGAGCGGCACGTCCCCGTCCATCTGTCCATTAGGAGCGCAGGCGCGTTCGTATTAGCCTAATGGTCCCCTAATGGGAACCGCTCTGATTCGCGATGGATGATCGACGCTCAAAACCCACCGCGATAATGACGCCGCCGCGGCACGGTAATGAAGGCACCTGCGGCAGGTGAGTGCGGGTCGCGGCGCGGGCGGCTAGCTGCAGGCGGCGGCCGGGTGGCACTTACCTTGGAGTGACCCGAAAACGTGTGCACCCGCGCGCCGTCCGGCGGCGTGTACGTCGGCAAGTCGGTCAGGCCCAGTAGCGTCGCCGCGCCGCGGCTCCTGGAGGCCGTGGAGTTGTCGGCGGCCGGCGTGCTCGACTCGCGCTCTGAAAGGGCGAGCGGCCGACACCGGCGCAGCGTTAAGGGCGGCCTCGTCGTGGGGAACGGGATAGGGAAAAATGCATGTGATTGGTGTAATTCTGTTGTGAATAAGATCGCAAGGTGTGTGTCAACGGGCGGGTAATGAGCAATGTTTCTGTAGGAAATTTAAAGATTTTAAAATAAGAAACAATCACTAAATCGTACGTTGCCGGCCAAAGCGCGTGTTACCTAAACTAACTGAATGTATTGTGGTACCACCACCTTTTTGCCACACAACCTAACGGAGGTTATCATAGCTGTATTGCCAGGTGCTTATGTAACCCCTGTGACAATAAATGACCGCCTCGCAAGAGCTACTCGTGAAAAGAATAAAAAAATGAAAAACAGACAAAGAAACAAACAAAAACAAAGAAACAAACAAACAAACAAGGCAAGGTCCTGTCAAAGGAATAGAATTTAGGCGAGTATTTTATGCCGAGTGAGGTGCAATGTGTGAAACAAAAATTCGTTACTCAAAAACGAAATTCGTAATGGAAACCCCCCTTTAGATATGAATAAGTCGTAACTGTTTTGAGGAAATAAAATACGATTAATCAAAATGGCTTTATGGGGCATGGATGCCATGTTTCCTAGATTCCCACCTGTGAGAAAAGAATGTACAGGAAACCGGTCATCCGGAACTGCTTGTAACAAACTCGAAGGTGGAACAGTAGAAGAATTAAAAGTTCACTAGCTCTCAACCAAAAAGTGAACAGCAAAATACCAATGGTTTACAAAATTTCAATTCTTTGCCTTTTAAAATACCGTTCTTTATTTACTTTAGATTGACTATTATACTAGAAGATTTAAGAATAGAAAAGAATACGTAGTTCTGTATTACATAATAACCCTGTGACACAACAATTCGAGATTAGAACTGTCCCTGACCAAACGGTTAATTGGAGGTAACATGAAAAAGATTCTGCTGTACTAACATTAACCAAATCATACCGCAGAATTAACACTGGATTTTGCAACAGGAAAGCTGGTTAAATGTCTTGTTAATGTTGATATTATGAATTTGCATAAAAATATAATCCGAAAATCGCTAAATACGTGTAGCATAATCAAAATAAACTTAGATTTAGCGAAGAGATAAACGATATTTGAATAACAAAAGAAAAGTATAACTTGCAGACATTAATTCAACCTCTTTTTAGTTGAGAACGAGTGTTATGCTAACGTGAGAATGGTAATTACGTGTACAAAAATGAGTGGGGGCTTCAGACACGACTAATTAAGAGGAAAGAAAAACGAAATAAACAGCGGGTATTCCACATCCATGTCTTCGAATTGTCTACAAATGATTATCCCCTTTGAGAACTCTATTTACCCATTGCCCTAAAATTGATATATCTTCTGCTTTTAACTATAAATTATTTCAGAAAACTTTTTCATTTCTAAAGGTAGCAATTGTGTTTCACAAAGTTTAGAAATATAAGACAAGATTTTGTTCTTGTATGATACAGATCATTGAAGTGGAGTTTACCTATACATTACGTTCTATACAAAAAAGCATGCTACGGATTTGAGCTGTTGTAATAACCAATTAACTATCTACAGAGAGTGTCATCGACGATCCTTCTGGCAGGATCTCTGAATATGTACCCTCTCTAGGTGCCTCAGTTACCTTAGTATGCGGAACGTTTCAATAAACGAAAATGTAACGAAATGTAGAAGAATTGTAGCCCATTTATATGGTATATCTGGAATATACATTGTCAATGAGAGTTTTTAAGAATGCGGCGTCTCTAAAACCAAAATTATGTGTCCGAATCAATGTTGCCTCTTATTACGTGACGTGACTCAGGTCACGTAGCCTGCTCTTCATCTGACCACGCTAATTTCGCTGCGCTCCTATCGCCATCTAGCAGAGACAGAAGGATTTGGGTGACGAAACAGGCGAATTGAATTTAGTTCAGAGGCTTTTTTTAGACTTGAGGGTCTTTTACAAGCATTAAATATACAACATGGAACAGCCGGCTTTACTTCCTCGGAAGGCGGCTATCATTTAAGATCGGCTCCTCCCTCGGAAGGCATAGCATGGCTTCACTCGGGTTTGAAACACCGAACTTCAGTATAACAGTCCGACACGCTAAACGTTAAGCTACGGATGAACTGGAAGCTACGGATCAATTGTAGTTTTGATCATAGGAACGAGGAAGATCCAGGTTCTGAAAGATAAGGATGTGGGACACCCCTCACAAAACCAACTAAACTATCCCCTTCGCCCCCCCCCCTCCACACACACATTTGCTCACTCCGTGCCTTCGCCCTGCTCTCAGCACGCGCCGCGCCATCCCATACCGTCTTGATCAAGCGTATACAGGTCGTCGTGAATGCTGTTTCGTTTCACCGGAATGGCGCGTCGAGGGCCGTGGAGCGGCGGTGGCGGCGTCTGCGTCGCGTCGGCGTGGTGAGGCGGGGTGGGCGGGGGCGTGGCTGCGGGCGTCGAGCGGCGGGGAGGGCGAGGGAGGCGTGTAGCCGGCCTCCGACGCCTTCATGGTGAAGAGGCGGTGCAGCGAGGGCCCCGGCGTGGGGCGGATGAGGAAGCGCGGCGAGTGGAAGGGCAGCGGCGTCACGCCCAGCATGTCCGCCGGCGACAGCACCGACTTGCGGAACGGGATGATGTCGTTGATGGACGTCGGCGACGGCCGCGGGCTGGTCGGGCCCCGCGACAGCGCCTGCCGAATAAATGAAGGATTGATACGGGCGTCGAAAGGATAACAAAAATATGTTGGTTAATAGGCCGCCAGGTAAGTCTCTCCGCACCGAGCCGAATCAGGGCCTTTTACTGAAAATTACATTTATGTTTTGTAGAAACCAGATCCACATTTTCAAGCTGAGCTCTTGCTACAAATATAATTTCTGTTGCTGGCTCTCTCACCAGCAATGTGCTACTGCAGAGACTTTCCTGGCCCGCTATATAAGTGCCATTGGTTTTTTCCTAAATAATACTGTTAATTAAACCTGTCATAACAAATAAAATGACTTCACTAAAGTCTGTTACTATGTAAAAAAATACAATTGTGAGAATAGTATTAACTGTTATTTTTTCATTTCCAGCTCTCTATAAACTAGTTATATGTAGGAGATTCTTTTTAACTATATACTAATCATTACCACAATAAAAATATTGTGAAAAGTAGAATTGTTTACATCGTTTACAGTTCAAATTAACGGTGACATTAGCAATGTAAAATTTATTGCATTCGCTATGACCTTGGTGTTAAGCCACTCAAAATAATATATAAGAGGGAATGTATTAGCGAAAGAAGAAGTTGAAGTGAGAAGACATAAATAAATAAGTTCATCGAATTCGCAAGAGATACATCCTTAGTTGATTAGAAACAAGTTAAAGATAAATTTAACACAAAGATAAAGATAAATTTATTTAAAATGCAATTAGGTATAACCGGATGGCAATTCCTACAGTAAATAAATACAGTCAAATTTGATGGGAAATTGTGAAAGAAGAGTTTGTTTTGAAGACACTTTATAAAGGCGATATGAAGCATTATGCGATCGATTGATATGAACGATAGTTTGAAATACCTTTTCACAAGGACGAAAAGAAAAAAGCTAGGAATTACTAAGCTAATAAAAGGAGAAGAATAGGTGTATACCTGATAGATGCCCGACGACGTGAACCTCGGCGAGGACGGTGTGGTGGACGGAGATGGGGCGACCCACGTGGACAGCGGTGTCACCACGTACACTTTTTCTTTGGTAATGGGCGAGATGGAAACTTCCAGATGATCCCAGTTCGCTTGAATGGTTGGCTCCGTGGTGTCTGTCGTTTCGGCGGTGAATTCGTCGGTGGTCGTTGCAATTTGCGTCGTAGTAGTGACGGTCACCGCCTCGGGAAGGACGAGGTTCGATTCGAAAAATTTCCAGGTGGCATCGTTGGAACTTTTATTACGAGATCCCGAACTTTTGTTTTCCGGTTTATCGACGACATTCGCAGTAATCGAGTGGGTGTGACTGCCGGACACTTCGTGGTCGAAAAATAAACTTGACGGCGACGTTCTTGAAATGTCGTTTATTTTATAGGTGGGTGGCAGAGTGGGGGAGAAAAGATCGGTTGGATCCGTATCGTCAACGGAAAGAGGAGTAGTAGTGAGATACTCTTCGGGTATCTGCTTCGAAGGTAAGCGAAGATGATGCAAAGTGGTGCCTGTGGCGAAAGACGCTGTGAAACCTTTATCGTGTTCCGTCGTTTTGTGATTGCTTCCCAGATGTTTGTGTTTAGAAAATTCCTGTGCAGTCCACTCGTCGATGTTCTTTTGTAACTTCAACAGGTTAATAGAGTCGGCGGTGGGTTTTGCTTCCTCCTCACCCCGCAGAAGGTCACGGATATTCGAGGCAAATATATGCTGAATTTCTCCGGTTTGGGAGCCAGGTTTGGCAACGAACGGTTTGTTTTTGTGATTCGGTGGCAGTTTTTCGCCCAGCGGAGCCTTGGCGGTCACTCTTCTGGATTCCTGGTGCAAATGGTAATCATCCTGCGCGTCGAGGCTCTGGCCGACCGTAGTGACCTGAGCGCGACAGAGAGCAGCCTGTTCTTGCCAGAGGGGGGAATCGATAGAGCCATCGGCGATAATATCGCTGCAATTATTTGCGCCGGGCACAATCCTCCCCTGATTTGAGGCAGGCTCGGGATTAGCAATCGGCGACCAGCCGCTCGCGTCTAATTCGGCCGGGCTGGCGCCGGGGAAGCGGAACTGAATGAGATCCTTGCTGGAGGTGTACGGCACGATGATCTGGATCTGCTTGGTCCGCTTGCCGTCGTTGGCCGCCGCGGGCTGCGCGGCGCGCGGGGGCGGTGGGGGCAGGAGGCGGCCAGGTAGGCGCGTCCGCTTTCCGCCATTTGGCGGTTTAGCGCGGCGCCGCCCACGCCGCCCCCGCGGACCGCTGCCTCCACGCGGGCGCGGGTGGCTCTCCGCTGCAGGGGGCCGGGGGCGGGGCGGCGACGGCCGGCGTCGGCGTGGCCGCGTTGAAGCCCTTGAACGGGTGCGCGGCGGGTTGAGATAAGAGACGGGCGGTCGGGCGGAAGGCGGGCTGGTAGGCGGGGCGGCGGGGAGGCGTTTGGAAGGCTGCGAAGGGCGGAGGCGCCGGCGGCGGCTGGTGGAAAGTGTTCTGGAATGGAGCCGAGGCGGCAGCCTGCTGTTCAGCAAGCTCGGCGGCGGTAATTGAAGGGTTTCTGCGGAGCGGTGTTGGAAAGAGACGAACCCGAGTTTGCGCTGGCGTGTTCGGGTAGGCGTGCTGAACTGCGACGGGGGAGTGTTCAAGCCGTTGATTTGGTAAATGAGCGAAGCGCCTTGAGCGGACGTTGGAGGGAGGGCTGGATGTCGACGATCACGGAGCTCTGAGTGCCCTGGGTGCCTGCGACGTGTTGCGGGGCGGACGTGCTTTGTACGCCCGGTGACATGAGAACGCCCTGAGTGCCCGGCGCGGACAGGCTGCGGCGCGTGGGCACCTTAATGCCCTGGCCTTGGTGCAGCACGCTCTGGGAAGGTTGTCTGTCCTCGTTGCCTGTAATCACGTGCAGGTGATCTGAGATTGCGAGTGGATTTCCAGTGGTGAGCGGTGAGACGAAGATATGTTTTTTAGATAAGCCTTGAGATGGATGTTCCTCGTTTCTGATGATAGATCCGGGTGACTTCCACTCGAGTACAAATTAATTTCTGAAAGGTTTAGGTCGTGCAATGAGACGAATGACTTGATGCAGATGGGCCGTTCACAACGTCTTTATTCGTGCTGCTTGGCTTTTGATCGTTCCGAATGATGGTTCGAGTGTGTTGAATGATACGTCTGAGAGGCTGCGCTGGATTCGTTCAGTGAAGGCCCTAGCGCTCCCCAGACGGCGGATGATTCGATTCTAAATGGTGCTGTAATTGTCTCTTTATTGGCGGCGAGTTTCTGGGCACTGGCTTGTTGGAACGTGTTCCTATTATCACCATTGTTCACGGCCGGTTTTCCCACTATTTTTCCTCGTGGGGAAATATTGCTACTGTAGGCGTGATTGAAAGGGTGCTGTATTGGTCCTTGTTTCCTACGGAGGGGAGTCAAGTCGATATAAGGCGGCTGTATGACTTCGGGCGGGTATCCACGGACGAGAGGAAATCCGCGACCCGCACGCTTTAATAACTTCCAAACTGTCGTCAGTAGTGTTGTGCTGGCTGTTGGAGTGGTCGGTGCGTTATGATATGGTTGCCATCTTCTGAGCCCGGGCATCGTTTGTCACCGGACGGGAGATGCAACTGGTCCACCGCGTTGTGGCCGTGTCGTCTGGAACCAAGTGCACCTGCTTGGCGTCCCCGTTGTACACGTCTCGAGCTGATGGCACGAGCGAGTGCTGGGCGGAGGATTGCGAGTCGGTGTAAACGGTGACGGATTTGATGACGTCGAGGTCCGCTCGGGCCCGGGAGCGGAGCCGTGCCGCGGCGCGGAAAGGGCCGGTCGGGACGGAGGGCCCGGGCCGGAGGCGAAGGCGGCGCCGGATGCTGCGGCGCGGGGCCAAGAAGGCCCCTCGACGCTGGAGCCGGTGCGGGCGGCGTGAGGTAGTCGGCGACGGCCGGCGCGGGGCCGTGGAGGGGCGGGCGTTGTGGACGGGCGGCGCGGGGAGGAAGGACGGGGCCAGCGCCAGCTGAGGGCGGCCGCCGCCGCCGATGGCAGTGGGGTGCGGGGTGGGTGGGGTGCGGACGGGGTTGCAGCTGAGACGGGGGCACGTAAATTCCGTGAGGAGCGGCAGGCGCCTGCAAGAGCGGTGGCAGGGGAGGCGACCGTAATCGTCTGAAGGGGCAGGGCCTTGACCTCCGTGTCCGCCATGTCCGCTGTCCGTGGCCGCCGTTTCCTCCATGTCCTCCATGACCGCCGGGCCCCCGTGGCCTCCGTGTCCACCGAGCCCTCCATGGCCTCCGTGCCCGCTGGGTCCTCCAGGTCCGAAGGCGGGCCTGACCCTTGAGCGCCCCTGTCGTGCTGAAATGCCCCGAGGGCGCCGGGGGCGTGGGCCGTAGTCGTCGGCGGGCGCGTGGGCGCCTGCAGGGGGGCCGTACTGCCCCGCGGACGCTTTCAGTGGCAGCTCGCCGTGGGCCGCGGCGCCGTGTTTGACCTTCCGGTTCCCTTGTGCACCGGTGGGCGTAGTCGCCGGAGAACGTCTTGAGCGGCGTAAAGGGCGGGATTTTGCTTTGCGAGGGCCGGGCGGGAGGTATTGGTTTCCGCCGTTGCCGGAGTGCGCTTCGGGCGGGTGACCAGCGCCAGGACCTGGTCGGAGACGCCGGGGGAGTGCGCGACATGGGGATCCAAGGGACCTTATTGCAGCGGTTGCAGTGGCGGCCTTTGTTGTGGCTCGGGGGTCCCGGGCGGGATCCTGAGGAAATTGGGAGCGGGTGCTTGGTGGCTGGGTGGCCGTAGGCGGACCGGAGACGGTGACTTCGGGGGGCGAATGACCCGAGGGGTGACCGAAGGGGGCGTGCGACCGGGAGCGGGGCGGGGTCCCAAGTGGTGAGGAGAGTGCGGTTTGGGAGGCCGTATCGCCCAGAGGAACGGTCTTCCTAAGGTCCGGACGGAGGTCCGTTGTGAAGAGGCACGGGTTTCGGAGGCCGTAGTGTCCGGAGGAGTGCTTTGGCCGGTCCGTACTCGCCGGTGGCGGCGGTGGGGCGGCGGACCGTGGCCGTGGCCGCGGCGCCCTTGGGCGGCGTACTGTTGAAGGCCTTGGGCGGGCCGTACTTCCGCCGGGCGGGCCGAAGCCCGTGGGCGGCGCGCCGTGCGGGGGCTTGCGCTCCTGGATCTCCTGCGGAGGGCGCGCGGCGCGTCCGGGGAGAAGACCAGCGGGCGACGCGCTGGGGCGGCGGAGGAGTCGTGGAGGAGGCGGAGTCGGCGAGGGCGCGCCCCTGGCCCGCGGAGGCCGCCGCGCTCTTGGAGGACGGGGGCGCGGCTGCAGGAAGTCGCGCGGCGTGGCGGGGACGCGGCCTTGTGCGCGCTGCCAGGCGGTGCCGCCTCGCCGCGCTGGGGTTTGAAACACGCGCACACCAGCACCAGTGCCCATCACCTGTGGCACACAAACGCACGTTTTTAATTGTTTACTTATTTAACTTTCAAAACAGCACTATATATGTGGCACTTGGAATGAAGGACAAATATATTTGACCAGGATAGAAAGGGATTGTCGCAGCATTTCCTGTATGGTCAGCGCAGGATTTAAGGATGTATTAAGTGAAAAATATAATTTATTTTCTAACACACTTTCTTCAACATATTTAGTAACAAAAAATATTGTTTCAAAATTTGATTTAAATTTATAACATATTTTTGTGTATCGGTAACACATGCTTAATAATTATTTTTTGTAATTTAGAAACCTTCTGTGATCTAATTTTGTTAAACAATTATTCCCGCTATCCAGCGACACCTGAAGCTCATATGAAAATTCCGTAATTTTATACCTCCCTCGTCAATGAATTAAGGTAAACTGAACTAAAAGCTTCAACAACATGCGGTCAAACCTCTAGAAGATGATGGCAATATTTTTATAGGCTCATTTTGGTATTACACGTTACAAACGTGACTGATATTAGTCGCATTATTATAAAATAAATATTATTTTCGTTGCGGGTACACAGTACAATTTTGAATCAAAATACGTGTCAGATATATCAGTCTCTAAAAGCTACTGGTTAAGCCAGTAGCTTCAGAGACTGATATTTAACGTAAGAAACGTAAGTAACGTACAACGTAAGAAAACCGAAAAAAAACGAATTGTGCCAATATAATACAATAAAATATCGATTGATATTACTTGATATCTCTAATTTTATACACGCTCTTTATTTCTCTTACCCACACATAGATTTGCATTCACTCTTCGCTATTACAAGATTTTAGTATTATCTTTTAACACCTCTGTTATATAATAATTTGTTAAAATATTAAAATATTTGATGTTTCCAGATTTACAATGAATGGCGTATTCAGGCATATGCCATTCATTATTAATGACATAAAAGTCAGAGAAAGTTGAACCCTTCTCGGATTCCCTATCGAGAATTTAAATTTGCACTGCATTTTATTAAGTATTTTTAATGTGATGGAGATATATAGATTGAATGGACCTCACAAAAGAGATCTCTAAATTGAACAAAATAGAGACGCTATTCTATAATTAACTGACGAAACGCGTTGTTTAATTTCCACATATTCCCTGAAAGCTGTTTCGCTTACGTTCATGAAGGTAAATACTGTAATATACGGCCAGTGTTTACTGTAAACAATAACGATGCTAGCGCCAGCAGAACAACGTTATCACGTAACTCCTCGCTTTGCGGCAACTCGCACGGCGGCGGCGGCGGCGGCGGCGGCGGCGGCGGCGGCGGCGGCGGCGGCGGCGGCGCGCTGCGTCAACGAGGGCTCCGGCGAGGCGGCGGGTTTCCACGCGCCCCGCCACGCCCGCTGCCTCCCCCTTGCCTGCGCCACTCCCGCGCCGCTGGAGTTCCAAACGCGCTCGCCCGGCAAAAGTTCCTTCGCGGGCGCACACAGTCACGCCAGCGCGGGGCAGGGAGGGCGTCGAGGGCGAAGGGGGGACAAGGGCGGTCGAAGGGGGGGGGGAGGGGAGGGCGTTGAATGCTAACGAGCGGCGGCGCCGCCGCCTACACCGAGCACGCTCGCGCCATTCGAACGGTCGCTAATAGGCCTCTAAAACAGTGGCCTCTAAAACAGTTCCAGATAGCGGCTCTATGCCGACGCACGTACGAGTATGAGCATTTTTTACGAGCGGCCGCGCCGTCAAGTGGCTTTGCGCGCGGGTCGCGGTCGCGGCCGGCGCCGCCGTTGCGACAAACACGCTGTGGGGGAAGGTGCAGACGCTCCGAGGGCGGCGGAGTGCTGGCGGTGTCGAATGTGACATGGACTTCTCTCGTGACACGCAGACGCCGACCGTCGGGCGGGCGTAAACAGAATGGGTTCCCCGCGAGCGGTCGCACAGAGAGCGAGCATACAAATCTTCATTTTAATTACTACTCTAGTATTGGGTTGGAGCATCGCGTATACTCGCTTATGTAGAAAACGTGTGCAGTACCCACGGCTGGAAGTGCAAATCATGGGTCAATGTCCACAAAATATGAGATAAATGAAATTACCGGAAAATTGTTTGTTATCTGTGATTTATGAACAAAAGTAACATTCATTACATATTATTGAGGGCTTGCACGAAGGAAAGAATTTCCTATGCGTGTGTAATCTGGTTTTACCATGCTGCAATTATATTTCACTCTTTCATTATGTTTAAAAACCTAGATTTTATTAAATTATTAACATAGTGTCCACAAGCAGATCGCCCCACTTTTCCCAGAAAAATAAATTCAGCTTTCAGTGCGAAGACGTAATACTGGATTTCCTTCTTTTAAAACATTTCTTGGGAGTAATATTCGTTCAAGCATACAGAAGTTATTTCCAAATCGATTTTGAGAATCCTTGCACAGAGGTATAGTAAGAATATTGATAGAAACATTAATAAACCAGCTATGTATTTGTATGTAAAAAGTTTTTCGTCTCTTTCTGAGACTCAAAGTGATAATGAATCAGGACATATGTATTAATGCTAATTCAGTGGTGCGATAATGAAGCATTAGTTTAATAGAAATGTATTAAAAAAGCTGATATTAACATATTCAATTGAACAGACAAAATAATTAAGTTTTAAAAATATTAATTGAAAATATTTTTTTATAAACAATCACTAGAATAAATGAATGGATGAAAACTAGAACGGTATAAGTGACATTTAAAAATTCTGAGAAATCTGTTTATTTAAGTCAATATTACTGTAAAGTGTTGATGCTTTGTTTCATTTTAAAGCACGGCACTTCAATTGTTCATTAAATTACGAAAATGCATTGCCGCTGAAATATAGCCTAAAATAAACATTTTTTTCTCAGAATTTATAAAATGTCACCTATACCGTTCTGGTTTTCACCTATTCAAATTTTACCCAGCTCATTACAAACTGTAAGAAAACTGCTTATCTGACTTAAACATTAAAAAGTTTTCAGGCCGAAATGATCATGTCGTTGATGCATGAAAATAACAGCCACGTTATTATAAACGACCGAATAATTTGATTGCATGCGAGCCAACACGACCGTAGTTCTAGTTCTGTCCCTTTGGCAGTCCTCGGGAGGCGAGCTAGTGCATCTCCTCAATTGAACAGCGTGCCTCCTGGGCTGGTAATGACTGGCTCGGGGCTGATCTATGGTGGGCACCGCCAATCTCCGAATTAGTGGGGGCGCCCGCCACCGCAAGAGCCACCGTCGCCGCCACCGCCGCCACTACCACCACCACCGCAGCCGCCGCCGCCGCCGCAACCAGAGCGAGAGCGTCTTACTCCACCACAGAGCGCTTCCGGAGACGGTGTCCCCAGCCCCGGTCTGGCTTCGAACCTTTGGCTCGACTACGCGGGCGGCAATGGGGGAAATCCGCTTCGGACAGCCAATTTGCTCAAATAGACCTCTTGTGTGGGTGGGCTCCTCTAACCACTATAGAAATGATAATGGATTGTCCAGTTTAAGATCTTGTCTCACATTGATGGTTAGCACATTGATGGGCAATATTAATGTTATGTAATGATTGGGAGAGATCTCAAATAAAGAGATCGGCGACGTTGTTTAATATTGGCTTTGGATTTTGGTCATGAAACGTCTCCACGATGAAATCTCGAAAGCCTGAAACATTTTACAAATATTAGGTGATAAATAAAAACTAGGCTCGACATGCTTTGCCTGGATTTATGGTCAAGTTAGCCAATTATTTCTTCACACCGGTTCATATTTCAATTTCTGTGATTTGTCACTGATTCTTATTATTATTCCTTGTTTCTTCTTGAACGCTGTTTCGCGTCATCCCATCAGTCTCGTTCCTTTTTTCTTTTTTTCTTCTCTTCTAATGCGTTTAACTCACTTCTCTTATTTTATTTTAGTTTTGCTACTTCAACGATTCCGCCTTGTCTGAGACTTGTTCCGGTTCCCATTTCTTGTGCTGTGGACTTTTTTCTTTCGTTTCCTGAAGTGGTCTTCCCATATCGCACTTGCTTCTCGGGCAGCATTCCACAGCCTGATATGGCAATCTGTCCTGCTTCGGTGTTCTTCGAATTTTTTTTCTACTTTCATGTTATCGTCAACATAGTTGCGTAGTTCTAATGTACTCATTTGTCACCTGTCGCAAATTGAAGTTTTGAAGACATTCTTAATAAATTAAAGAAATACGAGAATTTCGTTTGGATTGCATTACAAGTATTAACATTTCTGATTCGACTATGAAAAAAGTAATTTTGTATTCAAAAAAGAAAACGTTTGCTCATTTGTACGATCGAATACTTGTACATTAGTTTGGAGATTCGTCCATTATTTTATCCATTAACGTAGGCCAGAAAGCTTAAACGCTGTATCTCTTAAGTCGTTTGTTCGATCAGAAAATATATCTTTTTATAGTTTTACTGCTACTGTTGTCACAAATTGTGGTCTCTAGATATGTAAGTTGTAGCAAGGAAAAAAAGTCTTTATTTTACTTGAACATAAAAAAACGTTTATGTTGCCAAGGATAGCGTGCATAACGTACATAAATAATTCTCTGCAAAGAGGTACTGGAAAAACATTTTGCACATTTAAAAAGTTTGATATTTTTAATATACATGTTATCTCTTAGTAAGGTTTTTGATATAAAGAATAAAGTTTCTTTCACCCCGCATATTTAAAAATCCTGTTACTAAAATATGTTACAAGTGCGAAGGTTGCGAAACGTGCTTGTACATTTACATTAAAACTTTCCTGCATAGCTACGTGTGCACTGGATCGGTACGGAACGGACGGACTGAGGGGACCGGACGGACGACAGTTTTTGTGTGGGTCGCACGCACTCGCCAGGCCGGAACGGAACGGAACGGAACGGAACGGACACTTCTGACAGTTTCTTAGTCAGCTTGTTTCCTCGATCAGTCTTGCGTTGTGTGTGATGGCTTCTTAATTGAAGTTAGGAAGCAATTGAATTATTTTCATTTTTAATAGCAGAAGAAGTAAATTAGGCAACGAATCGAAGAAAGTTGAAATTATTTTCTCTTCGAAGCACATCTTTATATACAAAAAGGGAATTTTACATATTATATTCCGACCTGCTGGAAGATGAAAACTTATTTCAGTTCTTTAGGTTGTCTCACGATAAATTCGAAGCTAAATTGGATATTTTCAAAAATTTAAGATATAAATAAATATGTTGGTAGCAATTGAATTGAACTACAGGACGGACTCATAATTTGATTAGTTTATTTAGAAACTTACAAAAACAATCGGCACTGATAAGACAATAATTTATGCAAGACATACACAAAATTTACATTGATTAATGAAATAATGCATCATTCCAAAACACAGCGTACTTTATTCACCGTGCACAAATGAACCAAAATTCACCAATTCTGCACAGCTTTTTATAAATACCTGGAAATCTTAATTTGGAAAAATTACTCCGTGTTTCAAATAGTTTAACTGACCAACTAAATTACACTTCCTAACAAGATAATACATTAAATAAAACTTAATATCAGGTGACAACTCTGGATGAACACCATTAAACTGTACGCATTCATGATCGCTCCACAGGCTCCAGAATCTCACAACTGAAACGACGCAAAGGCAGTTCCGACCGTTGCGATGACGTCATGGAAATAGGAAGTAGTGCGTAGTGTCTTCCTTCTCGTGTGTCAAACTCGCACTTTTAGCGGACGGTCGAGTGCACGGGCAAACTCGACAAGGGGATGGCGTGCGGTGCGGTGCGGTGCGATGCAATGCGGTGTGGGGGCGTGGCTCATCGGTCGAGAAAAACCTGTTCGGCGGAGGCGCGAGCACAGCCGGTATTGCGGTCTGGCGGCGGCGGTGGTGGCGGCGGTGCCTCCTCCTCTTCCTCATTTTCCCTCCCACCCACCGCCGCCCCGCTGCGCTGTTCCACGCTGTGGGAGTTTCCCACCTTTGATTCGAGGCGGTTCGCGACCCACTGCTTCACTGACCTCCCTCGCCCTACGCAGCGCCGCCGCCGCCGTAGATGCTTCTTTCATCGAAGCACGACCGCGATGCCGCGCCAACACGCTCGGCTTGCACCCCGTGACGTTTGCGTCGCAAAATTTCGCTCCATAGGTTCCTCCCTCTATATCACCAATGGGTGTGTTCGATGAGATATGGCTCCTT